AAAAAAGCCCGGTCTAGGTAGGGTTAAAAGACGTACAAACATGTCGAGTGGAGAAAACAGCAGACATTTGGTAGTGTTAGATGTAGACGGGGGTGTGGATAACGCCCTGGCCATGATGCTGGCACTAACACACCCCCATGTACAGGTGCTGGGAATCACCTGTGTTGCAAGTCAACCAGGTGTGCCAGAACGTCCTGGGGGTGCTTAAGGTGTTTGCCAGACTGGAGGTAATTGTGGAGATTCTTAGGCCACACCGACTTAATTTTATGGATGACATCCGCACGCGCATTGATTGTTTCGCCTGTTCTCAAGAAAAAAAAAAGATCACGTCCTCTGAGGCTCTAGGCCTCTTGACATGGTAGTTAGTCCGTGGTAGTTAGTCCATGGTAGTTTATGACGATACGGAGCCGGTTGTAACCCTGGATCAGATGGCACCCAGGCTACCGAACGACAGCAAGAAGTCGTGCCGATTCATAAATTCCGCAAAAATCCAGCATGTGCCGGCTTGTCGTATACGTTGCTATTTACTGCCGCAAATTTACAATACCAGCCTTGTATTCCTGTGGTTTATTAGCATTTTTATTTTTGGCCGGAATTTTTTTTTATTCGCCCGCGCGCACTAGTTTTGGGGTCTTCAGAGGATGTTATCCATAAAATTAAGTCGGTGTGGCCTAAGTTTCATCATTAAAAATGCATAATTTATTTTATTTTGATGACGCCATCGGTCGAATGAGCCCCCCCCCCCGGAACCTCAATTTCCCATCCAAGCCGGCCTAGCAATAGGCGGGCAGCATTCCGGCCACACCCACAACCCGCGCTTTAGCAAGATATGGTTGAAAAATATGTGTACTAAACTTGTTCAAAAGATACATTTGTAAATTGTTTTCTGAAATTCTGTGTCTTTGAATAGTTGGAGCAAAATAACTACCGAGCCGAATTAAACCATTTCGGCACTGGGCTTCTGGTGCTTACGTCGGTCGCGCGGCGTACAGAACAGTATCTTAGGCCAAGTCTTTGTCTGTGAAAATGTAAGAAGAGAGGCCGTGCAGTCCTGTCCTGCCGATAACCTTGTTGTCCCGATTAAACTTTGTTACCCAGCACCCAGGCGGTATGATCTCGAAAATACCTCGATACCCTTTTTAAAGACAAGGTTTGCTTTGCCGATTCCGAGTTTCCAGTGCTGAAGCCGCCGACACTGGACACCAAGTGTTGACGTACCTTCGGCACTGGAGATCTAGGACGGAGGCCGCCTCACTTCTGTATACCGAGTGCTGAGAAAGGGACCAGTTACTAGTACTTCGGTACTTGCATTATTTTCACCCCAAATACACCAATTCTTACATTGTTTATCTGACATTTCCAACTCAGATTACCTGCCGCGCCGTACGGAAGGATGCTGTTCAACCCGATTGTCGAATGGAATCGCCCGCAAAGTGGGCGTAGCACGAATGCTGGTCACCCATTGGTCGCCGCTAGGCTATGTGGATGCGAAATTGATCTAGCCCCCCCCCCTCCCCCCGTCCCACCAAGCCCAATAAAGCCCGGTCTAGATAGGGTTAATCTAACATGACCAGATCATATAAGAACTCCTGGGTGGGCAGTAAAACTATTTGGCAGGTTTACAATTAGTTATGGAAAAGTTCAATGTATAGCGCAAAATCGATTTCGAGCGCGGAGACAGACGCTTACAAGTAATTGTGGTAACAATGTTTTTGACGTATCATTAACGTTCTCTATGGGCGGGGGCTCTCGTTCCGACCTGATTAATATTCATATTATCACGCGCTGTTTGCATGATCACCATGGTACTGTTTCCTTTCGAATCTCATAAATATTCATGAGACCGTGAGTTCGCACGTGGCGAGCTCCGCTGACCAAAACCAGTGCTCAGAGCGGGTCGGCAAGCCGCCCACAAAGTTTTACGGAATTTTTTCCGGTAAGTCTGCATGCTTCTCATGGCTTCTACTTCTGGGGCTCCGGCCCATGACATTATCGTCATAGCTGGTCATTCCTTTGTCTCCCGTTTGGAGAGATTTGTTTGAGGTCAATCTAGTTCTCAACAGGGGAGGGCAGTCGCCCAGGATTTTTGGTTAGATCATTCTACTAGTATCGGCTACGCGGGTATCCCTGGATGTCACATCGATACCTTTCGTTCAAGGGTCTATTAGACCTTGGTTTGTGTACATAGAGCTCGGGCATAACGATCTTGTGTCCTCCACACAACCCCCCCCCCCCAACAAGTGGCCGAGAGGCTGTGGGAGCTAGCTGGCGAGGTTGCTGCTCTCCCGTCTGTCAAAAGGGTCATCCTAGACCTGCCCCTTTGGCGGGTGTCTTTGCCACCTAACTAGTAACAGGCCCAATTTGATACTGAAATTCATGGACTCTTCCTCTTTTACAAAAGTATCAGAGGTGCATTAATCGCTGCTCTAAAATCAACTTGAAAGGTCAGAAACCTTTCCACAAACTTCTCTTAGGATTACAGTTGAAACGCTCACACTAGCTCTTGTTTGGAAATTCGGAGAATGGTGAGATGCCTCCCTTGGTCCTCAAACATAGTTCAGAACAGCCCATAGTAAGAAATTTCTCTCATCAATTTGATTCCTTTCATGAAAAGTTTATTCTAACAATGATAGACTCTTTTCCTCACGCGGGGTCGTGTGGCGCAGTCGGTAGCGCGTTCGGCTCACACCCCAGAGGTTGCGGGTTCGAACCCTGCCCATGTCACCGATCTTGTGCCCTTGGGAAAGGCACTTTACACGACTTTCCTCACTTCACTCAGGTGGAAATGAGTACCTGGCTTCGGTTAGGGACGTCCCTCGGATAGGACGTTAAATGGAGGTTCCGTGTTTGGGGAGAGCACGTTAAAGAACCCACCGCACTTATCGAAAAGAGTAGGGGATCTTCCCAGTGTGAGTGGTTCAAAACCTTACAGTCCGGTCTTACGCAGCTTGTACATGTACGCACATGTACAAAACGGGTGTGTTACGCCTGAAGGCGGTTTACCGGTTATGCGAAACAAACAAAACAAACAAACATGGCAATAGATAGAGCCCCCGCATGTCGCGGTGTTTTGGCGCCTCTTATATAAAGGCCATCTGTCTGCTGTACCGCACTTAGCGGGCTTTGGTGGCTAAAATTGTACAAAAATTGTCTCTCTAGTAAGTTATCCGCCCCATGTATGTACGTGTGAAAAATCTGAAATTGACAGCGCCGAACTCTAAATAGAGTTGCGCTGCGACACCATTTGTTTTCTTATGTTTACAGATTGAAGCTCTGAGTTTCCCCGCTCTGTTCATCTATGAATATGATTGTATTCTGCTGATTTGTGAATTAAACATATGTTCCGCCAAAACATGATTCTTGGTCGTTCCGTTTTTCTGTCACGATTTGAAGTCTGGCTTAGTAGCGAGAAAAGACTTTGCCGCAGGGCAAATGATTCTTGTTTAAACATGCAGCGCTCTAGATCTTATATAAAAGGCTTGTTTTTGGATCAAGGTTGACGGATGATTTAGATTTTTTTCGTCACACACGGAAAAGATCCTGTTATTTAAGAAAAAAATGAACTGGCCATGGCTGGTGCTCATTATCTTGCACTTCAATAACTGCTTGGAAAGCATCAATGCATACCATAGATACTCGGTAGGTGTGGACTTTGGGTCAAAGACCCCAGTGACCGGCATTTAACGCAACTAGACGTAAGAAATGCAATGATTAAAAGCTTATTCACACTAAAACATTAGCCTCGCCGATAAACCATTTCCAAACATTAAGCTAAAAACTAAATAGTAAGAATAAATGTAAAATATTATTTTTACGTTTATGATTACAAAATATTTCGTAGTGGTTTAATGCTGTCCTGCCTTAACGATTGGTTGTTTCAAGCATTGGAACTTCTCCTCTAGCTATAGCTAGCGCTGCGAGAAGAAAGTAGATAACTCTAACTTGCCTGAGCCTCCTTGCATAAAATTAGGACTTATCGGAGTCAAAATCTTCAGTCAAAAGATGCCTGACTGAGGGGAAAGGTTGCCATAATTAAATCACAGGTAAGTAATATATAAAACAGGAGCTTGTCCAAACAGTCCAGTGGTCTAAGCTGTGTTTGGAGTCGACTGTTTGACTCGGAAAAGGGGGACGTAGATTTTTATCTTCGTTAATAATGAGGAGAAAATCACATCATTTCTCACAAATCCATTCAATAGATTAACGCGGGATCGCGCAGAGCTTAAACAGATGCGGGGTTGACGACACACCAAAGACGCCTTCAGTGGTTGGGGGAGGAGCGCCCTCTGGCGTCCTGAAGGTGAAGGACTGCAGCAGGGTTGAGAAGAACAGGAAAAGCTCCATCCTGGCCAGCTGCTTACCAAGACACACACGTCGGCCTGGAAATAAAGAATACCTGAGGGTATTTGCTAACTCTACCCCATGCGAACTTTTAGGTCATTTGCCCCGTGAATAAATAAATGAATATAATAAAGCCTTTTAAAGAAATGGAAGGAGAAAAAAAATATATTTCATCGATGAGATACTAATTACCTCCACTGAAAGGCATGAAGGACTCAGGCTTGTTGATGACGTTCCCCTCCGCGTCCAGAAACCTTCCGGGGTCGAACCGGGCCGGATCAGGCCAGTAGGCGGGGTCCATGTGGACGGAGTACAGGTTAGGTAGCACCTGGATAAAACGTATCAAAATGCGTCCATACATCTCTACATAATACATACTACAAACAAAATATGTTGAGAATGAGTTCAGTAGAACGTTTCCTTCGAGTTGAAAAGAATTATCGCAGGATAAATCTGTTATATGGCAAATTTTACTATTGAAGAAATATTTTGCAAAGTTAGAAAATAATTTGTGATCTTTTGCTGGGTAGCATACCTGGGTTCCCTTAGGGATGTCATAGCCCCGTACTTTGACCGTCTCCGAGGGGGTGTGAGGGATCGAGAGAGGTACGACGGTCCGGATCCTCATCACCTCCAGCAGACAGGCATTCACGTATGGCGACCCCATACACATACCGTTTATAGTAACTAGTAACTAATGGTGACCACCGTTATATACTAACTAATAAGCCAAGAGGCTATCATCACATCCTAGGATGTGACCGTCATTAGTAACTCAGTTCCTTACTAAGGAAGTTAACGGCCGGACAGTGTTGCACACGCAGTTATATGGGTAATCAGGAGTAAATTTCTTGGCGAGGTCACCCGGTAGATGACCTCTAGTAGGTGTAATGGCCGCCATTTTTGACCTGACTCGGACATTTTTTACTAGTATTCAGGATGAAAATAAACACCAAGGCTGCTGGCACGAGATGTTTTTAATACTGTTAACGGAGTATTATTATAGCTTAGTTAAAGTACATGTACTTTCATGAGACCATCGACTGATGCAAAAAAACGACGGGCAGATTGAATTTCGACTTTTTGGATGGATGTTTGTTTGACCCGATCCCTCGTCTTTTCGCCAACAAATCACGTCCAACTTTGATAAGGCATGTTATATAGGTAGGTATTTCTTGCCTGTTTTCACTGTATATATCGCCTTAGTTCTGAACATCTCAATATTATTTTATTTCTAAGCAGATTCTGTGGCGTAAGCGAGTCAATATTCCATATATTGCCCGGCTGTATCCATTGACTATTATCCAAGCAGATGTTTGGGGGAGGGGGGGGGAGACAGTATCAAATTGGTCAATCTGGGGAAATGGTTACAGACTGGTCAATTTAATACTTGGAGATTATCCATTGACCTCCTGCTTGGCTGGCCCATGATGCGATGATTTAAACTAAGACACTTACAGGAGACCAATTAATAAATATTATGTAAAAAAAAGGCATCCAATACTAGTATTGCCTCGTTTTTCCCACAGAATCTACTTGCAGGTTAAAGATTATTTTGTTTTCAACTTATAATTGCCGTACAAAATTATATCAGATTTGGCATAATTTGATGGTTTAGATTAGAATGTGAGAATGGCAAATTTAAATTGACCTGTTAGCAAAGATAATGACTCGGATGTTGTTAGTTAACATTAATGTCAATACCACAAAAGAAAGATCAGTTATCCAGATGATGACACTAATTACATGTAACAAGTTACATGCTACATATCCTAAATCATAGTTCATACATGCATTCATTACCATATCTCTAGTAACAATATCAGTTTGAAAGTAACTTCAGTTTATCCAATCTATCGTGCTTGGGGCAGGCTGTCTTCAGGGCTCTAATAGTTTTCCCCCTGTCCAGCTCAACAGACCGCCCGGTATATTTGAATCATGTGCCGCACACCAGGATCGAGTTGATCCGCCCCTCCACAATCGAGCTTCAGCAGACCTGAAGAAAACCCGCCCAGCCACCTGGATACCAGGTTAGTGTGAAAGACTAAATGTTGGTACTAGTTCTGTGGAATCATGTGGACCTAACCGGGTATAGCGGATTCCGACTACCTTTAGCTAGTTCTGCTTGTCAAATATGGTATCGGTATAGCAGCGGGATTTCCGCCCTTCGGCGTGTGCACACTAGCTATAGCTAATTATAACTCAGCTTCTTCTGTCCAATTGCTAATTAGTAATTGCCAAAAAAAAAAGAAAGTTAGCTCATTATTGAACTTTAGCCACCAAATTCCATCCACATTTAAAAAAAAAAGAAAATTGCAGAACCCACTCGAAAAGCATATGTTTGTCTTCCACCGACTTCAAAAAGAACTCAAACATAACTACATGTTGTATTATAAGATTCATACCCCATTCATATACCTAGGCTATGTACTATAGTATGCGTACTAGTAACCGGTTGAAGTCAGTAAGGTTTAAAACCCCATGCTCTGTACACTTGGGACGACCTCAGCTCCCTTATTCTATCTCCAGAGAAGAACGTCGCCTAGCCAATATGTAAACCTTTACTGCAGATTTTTCTTGCAGTACATTGTTTCTGAAATAATTACACACCTTTATGATCTTGGTCAAGCACTACTGTACACACACACACACACACACACACACACACACATACTACTGTACACACACACACAC